GCAAGTCTTTTAGGACATAAAAAAAGGGTTGTAAATTAGTCGAAAATATTTACAAGTGAAAACCCTGCAATAAAATTAAGTCCGTATTTATAAACATATCTCATCTGAGTCGGATTTGGGTGAGTTGCCCTTGTTCGAAAATTGAAGTTTGGTTACAACTTTGGTTACAACTTCTCTAGAGTTCCAGGTGGTTTCGGTGTTACACTGGCATTTAGTAAGAATTTGTTACTACCCATCTCTAAATCCACTCGATATAACAGAACTTCGATTTTCGTTTAAGGACGACTTAGCTGATTCGAACTTGGCTGAGATCTGTTTATAAATACGGGCCTTAGTGTTTTCAATCCTACTGATGTGATGGAAAAGAAGATAATACTCCTGTGTACGGCAACAGAGAGAAGACGTCCGTCGATTGCATCCACAGTGGATGAGTGTGAATGAACTTTTACTGGAACCGGTTCCGTTTCTTGAGTTACACATATACACACACGTGTAAAAGGTACACACCGGAGTATATTTGCCAGGTTGCCAAATGGACAGAAAATACGGGGTTCTTCGGAATATTTTTATTATTTTTTTAATTTTAGTTCATTGTTGTTAAATTTGTTAATTTTGAAAATTTACTTAATAATTACATTTTTAGATAAATTTGTCACACATCTTAGCAGCTTAATTCTGTATCTGCAGGTTAAAGATCAGTTAACTATAATGAATGTAAAATAGATTTGGGCGATATTTCACGAACTGTTATTTAGTTAAAGATATTTTAAATTATCGGTAAGCTAATATGTTTTACGTTCTTCTGTTAATTTCATAAATGTTATTGGAAAAATATTAAAATTTAAGTCAGTAATATAGTGAAAAGTGACGCTTTAAAGTTAAAACTTAAAAATATCGTACAAACTGAATAACATTTGTTGTAATTTGACACTAGTCTTTTAGTTGATCTGCATAAAGGAAGCAACTAAAGTTGTTAAATCAAATTGTTGTGTCTTATTGAAAAGGATAAACAAAACAAGTCCTATATGCGAGCCTTGTGGTACACCTGAATTTACTAAAATTTCACAAGGTGTACCTAAAACCACACAAATTCACATTCTCTATGTAGTTGCCGATAATACCCATCTTTTTCAAGACATTATTTATCTAATAGCAAACGCTGTCGAAAGCTATAGACACATCAGTATATAGAGTCCCCTTTGAAAAGTCCACGTCGAAAAGTCATAAATATCTCATTTGTTAATAATACCTTCATAATTTTAGGATTACTAAAAAAAATATCGAGATTCGGTGATAATTTGAAACATAAGATTTGTCACCGGATTAAAATATAGGAACTTAGTTAGAATATCTCTAATGTTGGAAAAATAAATTACCATCAAAGCATTTTTAGAATAATTGACAGAGAAGTTAAAAGTTTTTTAAGAAAATGTGAGAAAGTGAAGTACGGAAGTGTTTATCTCTTCTTCAATGAAATTAAGGAAGTATAGATTGCTAGAGGAGTAAATAATGAGGTTGGAAGAGGTAACAACTTTGATTTGAGGAGACATACCTTCATTTATTTAAATTTTATTAATCACATATTCTTAGTGTGATTGAGAGTAACGATATCGTTACCCAATTCTACTTTTTCCCTCAGTTGATGTCTTTAAGAATTTATAGTTGAGTAAATATTTACAAGATTCTTCGTGAGTTAGGCTATAAATCTGATACATTTTTAAATTTCGCTTTTCAAGCCTTTTCAAAGAAGTGTCCCTCTTGCTATTTAAACAAGAATGAGTCCATAAAAAAAGCGATACCACGTCAAGTGACAACGGTTTCTCAAAATTGCATATTCACTAGTAATACCACAAGTGATTGAATTGGCGCGATAATTCTGTCAACTGAGTTGCATCTTACAGAAAACACCACTCGTCCTCCGGACTCGTGGTGTTTTCAAGCAACTCAGTTTCGTTCTAAAATAAAAGACAGAATTATAAGATAAATTCAATCACGAGTGGAATTTTATTAGACTATTTCACAAACAAAGTGAGTCTTCTAATACGTATTCTCGTTCATCGCAAAAACTAGTAAATTGCTTCCAAACGTACAATATATAAACAATCTGAAAACACCGAACTTAACAGGCCAATCAGGATCAAGAGTCAAGTTTGGTGTTACCGATAATCCGAACTTGACTAAAACTCCTGATTGGTTCATTTGATAGGTGCGTGAAATAGTCAAAATAATTTGTATTTTATAATAACATGGTGCTAAAAAATATTTAAAAGAAAAATAATAATATTGATATCAATATATAAACAAGTATAACTACCGAAAGCAGTCTAAACTAGGTGCCCAAAGCTAGACAAACTTAAACCATAGTATTTTTCTTAAATCCAATAACTAAATCCCAAGAAGACTTTTAGCAAAATCAAAATACCAATTAATACCAATCAGATAAAATTACCGTGGAAAAATTAAAAAACCAACTATTAGCTATTTTTAGTACTGACTGGTTCTGATAGCGTGTACTAAACTTAAGCGAATTTTGGCTTAGACAAGACCGTCACCCGAACAAAAATCAAAGTTCGGGTGAAGTACGTGAATTTAGAAATGGGCAGTAACAAATCGGTTGTACGAGTACCAACTGTTCTGTACTGTTTACTGTACATTTTCTCGAACTTTGATTTTCGTTCAAGAACGATTTGGGCGAAGACTGGTTTATAAAGACGGGCCTAAACCTTAAAGAACGAAAATGGTGCACAATTCAATTCCTAAATGAAATTACCCATTAGACATATCGTCGTCAATATCACGAAGTGACGTAACTCGATTTTCACAACTTTACAAGAGAGCGTTTTAAAGTTTTTTTTATAAAGTTACGTCTCTTCGTGAAATTATCAGATACACCGGTTAGATACATACTATTTTAATAAATGTAATGAATTGAGATACCCAATTTCGTGAAATTGTGGAGCATACTTTTTTACACAATACCTATGTGACATCTCAATTTTCAAATTTTTCGAGTTACGTTACTTCGTGATATTGACGACGAATTTCTTCTGCATGTGTTGACAGCACACCGTTTGAAAATTGCAATTTCAGTAAAAATCTGTAAGTAGGTATACTGTATGGTGCCTTTTCAATTGCGCATATTCCTATCAGAAACTGCTGAAGACCGTTCCAACAAACTTCAAAGAAAATACCTGATTGTAAAAACAATTAATTCCAAGCATGACATAAATACGTTTAAACAAGAATATAGTCAAAAAACAAATAGTGTAGGAGGCATGCTTGCGCAATAAATAAATCAGTTTAATTTTTAATCGGTCATGGATTATTTTTTTAAACAAATCTTAGGTATATAACTCATTTAAAACTTGTAATTCTACACATGCGACTTTAAACAGATCTGAATACGGCCCAGTGTGTAATTTTAAATAACACCTTATTTATGGGAAACTAGCACCTCAATTAGTATACGCTACATTTGTGTGACGTAATTTGTAAATAATAAAAATACAATGTTAACCCCTATTTTCTTATGTCTTTACTGTCAACTGTTACTACTGTCATTGTTAGTAAAACACAAATTACGTAATCACTATCATAGAGTATTATCGCTAAATAAAATCCGAGCGTTTTCGTCTTTGTTTTTTAGAGTAATATTGACTTTTTCATATGTTTTTACATTTTTTTAGCACATTTTATTTTTCCTTATACCCTGCTATAGTAGTTATCCTCCTTTTCATGGTGGTTTGCTCTGATTACAGTAAGTAACCTAGCTAGCTAATTCCTAAGTTGTCGTGTGCGCGTGTGAGACCTGTGTGGCAGGTTGTGTTCCCCGAAAATATCGCCAATTTTGCTATTTCCAACCTGGTAAATGGACAAGTCCAAGTATAAGGTGGGGAATATGATTTAGGGAAACCACGAGAACCTACATCACGGTACTGTAAAAATATTATGAATTCTAATTATATGATTGATAAGGGTTTTATCTGATGATTAATGGGGCTGATTTCAGCAGATCCTGGAGTTAAGCGGTGAGAGGGAGGTCTTGGGAGTCTGAAAGTAGTCTTAGATTTGGTTGCGGCATTTTTATTTTCGGTTTTTAGAAAAAGTGGGAGTCGGCGTGGGCGCTATGGGGTTTATAGTGTGTTTTGGGAGTGTGTGTTGGATGGAGATGTTGGAGATGTTTTCGAAGACTTCTCCGCTGGGATAGCGATAGGGAAGGTATTTGCAACATCTGAGTATACGTCCCTCGAATATGGTGAATTTGTGAGCCAGGTGTGTGGGAAGTACGCCGTTGGGTACATCTCTGTACTCGGCAACGGGGCGGTTAAAAGAATTATAAGTGTGAATTAGGGTGTTTGTATTGAAATGCCCCATTCGTACGCACAAAGCCCCAAGGAGACTGGTTCGTTTTCGCATTTTATTAAGAGAGCATTGGACATCAGAGGACCAGTTGAGTGTACGAGACAATCGTACTCCCAAATTGTCAACTTCGGTCTGTTGAGCGAGCCTGACTCCCAGGAGATTTGGATTAACGAGTTGGGGGTTCTGGGAGCTTTGAGAATTTGGGTGTTTAAAGACGATAAATTGTGTTTTCTCTGGATTTAATGAGACTCTCCATTTGCTACACCAGCGAGAATACTGGTTTAACAGATTTTGGGTTTGAGTATTTAGTTGGACAGAATTTTTGGCTTTGTTTCAAATAACTGTGAATAGTGTATATAAAGGAAAAGATGATTTTAGATGAGAAGGAGTTATATGGAAGGGGATAATAGAGACTTGGGTAATAGGAAAAGGTAATAAATGAAATTTTATCAACGTGTGATCCGTCATCTCTTACTTCTTCTCTGAATTGACGTTTCTATCTAATTACTAATTACATTTTTTGCATGCAGGTACATTCTTAAATCATGTAATTGTTTGGGAAAATTGCAATAAATAGCGATTATATGAGAGCTTCTCTGTAAAACAAATGTCACATTTCTCGGGTGACAGTTTAAAGT